CTAAAAACAGACTTACTCTTGGAAAGCAAGAGGAAAACATCAACATAAACAATGGGAAAAAAAGATAAGAAATCAATACAAGTCCAAGATTCAAGATTCAACCAATTAGAGTCCAATTCAAATAGGTCAGAAAAAATAATGAACAGTAAATTGCTATTTAAGTTTTTTGTTTGTTTTTTTTAAGATTGTGCTGATGAACATGAGTCTGCAGATTGGAAAGGCTTACCAAGCATAATGAATGAAAAAACAAAAAAAAATGTTCCAAACCAAAGAATGTCTTTGTGAAACTATACAACACTAGGGCTAGAGAGGAGATTCTAAAATAGAGATTATCAAGTCACATCCAAAGTATGTAGAATAAGAATGTTGTTGTTATGTGCCATTGAGTCGGGTCCTACTCATAGCAGCCCTGTATAGGGTTTCCTAGAAGCAGCTGGTGAATTTGAGCCACCAACCTTGTGATTCAGTGCTTATCCTATAGCACCATACCAAGTGTGGTGTATATTTCTCAAAAACAACTCTGGACTCTAGAAGACAATAGCGCAGGCTTTCAAAATTCTGAGAGGAAACGTTTCAACCTAGAATTGTTAGGCAAGCTATTAGAATAAAGACATTTTCACTCATTTATTGTTTCAAAGGAGCACAGTAGCTCTGTAAGATAGACACAAGGTTAGCACTGCTAACCACAAGGTCTGTGGTTTGATCCCACCAGCTGCTCGGCATTGGAAGTTGAGGTTTTCTTCTTCCAAAAATATTTTCAGGATCACTATGAGTCAGAACCAACTCAACAGCGCTTAACAAGAAGGTCTCAACAAAAATTTTCTCTACTTTTGTTTTTGTTGTTAGGTGCCAGCCAGTCAGTTCTGATTTGTAGGGAACTTCTGAACAACAGAGCAACACAATGGCCCTGCCCATCCTAACGATCACTGTTACCCTTGAACCTACTGCTGCTGTCACTGTGTCCATCCATCTTGTTGGAAGTCTGCTTTTTAGCTGACTCTCAATTTTACCTAGCATGATGTCCTTCTCCAGAGACTGGTCCCTCCTGATAACATCTCTGAGATTTGAGAAACCAAGTCTCAGCATCCTGGCTTCTAAGGAGCATTCTGGCTGTACTTCTTCCAACACAGATTTGTTTGTTCTTCTAGCAATCCATGGTACTTTCAATATTCTTCTCCAACACCATAACTCAAATGCATCAGTTCTTCTGTGATCTTCCTTATTCACTCATAGAAGTAGCAGTCAAGAAATCAAACGACATATTGCATTAAGCAAATCAGATGCACAAGACCTCTTTGAAGTGATCAAGAGCAAAAGTGTCCGTTTGAGGACTAAGGTACACCCGACCCAAGCCATAGTATTGTCATTAGCTTCATATGCATGTGGAAGTTATCTACGCTAGTGTTTAAAAATTAACACTTTTTCATGAAGTCACAGGAAGATGTGTGCCTGCAAAATGAGCGAGTCAACAAGGAAAGAGAAAGATGGGGACTGCAGAGGTAGGAGACCAACTCAAGAAAGGAGAGAGGAACTTCTTACCCCAGATGATGTTGAGGGGAATCCCAGGAGAAAAATAGCAAAACCAAAGCCACTGCCTTCAAGTCACTTCTGATTCGTAGTGACAGAGTAGAACTGCTCCTTATGGTTTCTGAGACTGTAAACTTTACAAAAGCAGACAACCTCATCTTCTCCCATGGAGCGACTAGTGGGTTTGAGCCACAGACCTTGCATTTAGCAATCCAATGCTTAACCTACAGGGCCCCTTCCCCAGCAAGGAAGCTGGCAGGGAAAAACAACAACAACAACAAACAAACAAACAAACAAAAAAGAGAGAGAATTCAGACTAAACAGCAGGATCCGAGCTACAAGAGAGAGTCCCTAAGGCGGGAAGGGATCTAATAAAAGATCTGACGGTTTTGACCCCATTTGGGAGTCCTGGTATGGTGCTGTGGGTTAATGCGCCAGACTGCAAAGCCATTTGAACTGCAAGGTTGGTGGTTCAAATTCACCAGCTGCTCCTGGGAAACCCTATATAGGGTCACTATGGGTCAGAACCAACTTGATGGCACTTAACAAAAAGAACAAACTTGTTTTGACAAGCATTTCACAGAGGTCTGAGCATGAGAAGACTAATCAGATGTTCAAAGAAATCTTAACTAGGGAAATGCAAATATTTACATAAGAAAGAAAACACAATCATTGGACACTGGTTGGATCTGCAGTGGTTAGCAGTTATAGAGCAGAAACACAGTGAGGAAAGCAGGGAGTCTGCGGGGAGGGGAGAAAAGGTGAGTGGTGTTGTTGTTGTCAAGTGCCCTCAAGTCGATTCTGACCCATAGCGACCCAGTATAGGGTTTCCAAGGAACAGCTGGTGAGCTTAAACCACCTACCTTGCAGTTCAAACGGCTTTGCTGTCTGGCGCATTAACCCACAGCGCCACGCTAGGACTCTGGCACCAGTAGGCTAGGAGGGTGCCAGTCTCTACCACTTACTCATTGTGAGATCCGTGTATGATATTTATTCTCTCTATAACTTAGTTTCCTTATTTAAAATTGGGAATAATGGTTCCTACCTCACAGGACTGTTATAACAACTAAATAAGTTAAATAGTTGTCAAGGTCTTAAGACAGTGCCTGGCACACAGGAAGGTGTATACAAGTACTTGATGAATAATCAAGCTAAAACTATGTGCATGTTATGTAGAATTATGGTGGCAAATACTTACCAAATTAGGTTAAAAATGAAAATAAAAAGTGGTTTTCTGTGGGGAAACAAGAAAAAGAAAGCTGATTTTGGTTCTAAGTCTTGAAATAGGATTTGAATTTTATAAAAACCATTGTAGGTAATATTTTTAAAGTTTTGATTTCTTTTATTGTTGCTCCTGAGAATATGCACAGCAATGTGTGCACCAACTTCACAGTGTTTATGTGTACAATTCTGTGGCTTTGACTACATACTTTGAATTGTGCAACACTCTTACCCTTTCCTGAGCTGTTCCTCTCTGATTAACATAAACTCATCATCCCCTAAGGTTACTATTTAACATTTCAAGTTGCTGTTGTCAATTTAATCATGTAGGTAGCTCCTAAATGAGCATAATGCACAAGCAGACATTTTTAGACAGCTAAGCTAACCTATTGCTTGATGTTAAGATGTTAGGGGCTAGTTTTGATTTAAGTTGTAAAAATGATCTCAGGGAAATAGTTTCAGGGGTTCATCCAGAGACACGACTCCGAAAAGTCTGGAGTTCATGAGAATTTGAAATTCTGTTCTGCATTTTCTCGCTTTTGATCAGGATTCCTCATTAAAATCTTTGATCAAAATGTTCAGTAGTGATTATTGTTGTTGCTGTGTTCCGTGGATCCAACTCATAACGACCCTGTATAGGTTTTCCAAGGCTGTAACTCTTTACGGGAGTAGAAAGCCTTATCTTTCTCCTGGGGAACAGCTGGTAATTTTGAACTGCTGACCTTGCGGTTCACAGCCCAATTCATAACCACTACGCTACCGGGGCACAATCCAGCTCTTCTTATGGCAAAAGTGGCTGTTGTTCACGGTGGCAATCAGCCACACATTTCTACCTCCTATTCCTGACTCTTCTTCCTCTATTGATCCAGGTGATAAAGATCATACAGATAACATTTTGAATACAATAGAACTACTAAGAAAAGCCAACAATCAACTCTAAATTATAAAGGGGCACAAACTTTGACACAGACGATTTCATAGCCCCAGATAATTTATTAACATCTTCATTTGCTGTACAAATGAAATTATATGTATTTCTAAGTTTAAGAGTGGCCCCGAGTCCACTTTTACAAATAAAATTGTCAACACAGGACACTATGAGTTACACTGCAGTGAAGGCATGACTAATGCAAACGTAACGTGTTTGTTGCTCTAAGGAAAGTGTCTTACAGACACCAGCTAGTTAGTCCAGCTTTGGAGGAGAAAACACACATGAAAAGTGAAGCAATGTAAATCCTACCTCTCCTCCCCCTGCCTTCTGAGAAAGATTTTAATAAGTAATGAAATGGGAAGCTTATAAAGTAAAAGAGGAAAAGACATAAAGCCTGTGATTCCAGAAAATGCCCAGGCCTGCTTTCCCAGTGGTCTCTTTCTTCTTCAAAACTAATGAAAGAGCCAGCAGGACTCAAAGAACCATTTCTGCTCTGAGTTACATAATTATATCAAAATTATTTCCAAAATATATCAGCCCCCACCCATGCATTTCACAGGCAAATTACCATGACACTTGATCCTCAATCTGAAGTGCCTAAGCCCTTGCCAAATTCTACTTTTCCAGTTAACTGTCGTCAAGTGGGTTCCAACTCATAGTTACCCTGTGTAGGGTTTCTTAGGAACGGTTGGTGGGTTTGAGCTGCCGACCTTATGGTTAGCAATCCATTGCTTATCCTATCTCACCACACCAGCATGGCCTTATTAACTGCAGAAAGTTCAACTGTTCAGCAAATGAATACTGAAATGAGGCATATATAAAGAACTTTCAAAATGTCATCTGATAGCACTTTGAACACTTCCAAGTTGTTTCTTTTAATACTTTGTTATTTTTTGCCTGCTTTCATTTGAATGGTATCTGGTGGATTCAACCTTCAGTTCTCAAGTAACATCGGCTCTTTGCCTCCAGCTAAACACAATGCTCAGTAAAAGGTAGAGTAGAAGACCACAGTGTGCTCTGGTCCTTTGCCAAACTCCTTTATCTGGAGAGTGCAAACGCCGCTCTAGAAAGGCTACAGAATCTTTGAAACTTTGTCGTGGTATGGTGGCATGGGCCACTGTGCCAGCGAGCTCATTCATCACTTTGGGGACCTTAGGCTGTGCAACCGGCCACCCAACTTACTGTTATCCAAGGATTGGCAGTTAATCATTTCCTTAAATTATGCAGGTTTGAGAACAGAGTTGATTGCTTCTCAGCTGACCAGCAATATCCATCCTCCCTGCCCCCCACAGTGACGATTGCCATTTTGCCTTCTTCCCAGACTGCTGGGTTTCAACAGATTCTGACCGAGGTGGAAATTTTAGCGGTGATTGTGGGCTGCTTGTGTCACGACCTCGACCACAGGGGAACCAACAATGCCTTCCAAGCTAAGTAAGTGCTCTAATTGTTGTTATTTTAATGCATTTGCCTTTCTGTTCAGAGCCAAAGGTGATGAGTGCTAAAGAGTAAAGCATTAATTTCTGGCATCTGAGGCCAAGGCCATGCAGTTTGGGCGTGTATGTGTCATGGGGCCCATCCATCTTTATAATTCCCTATTCTTCTTTTAATTGCAAATTTGCCCTTCATGTCATGCTTGTTGATTTGGTCTGTCTCTGTTGACCTCAGTCAGATAACAAAGCTCAGTTTTTAAAAGGGCCATCTTTTTTCCTCTCTCTCTCCCAGAATATTTGCTTCCATGGTATTATAAAGCTTCTTGAAACTACGACTCTCAAAATCCAGCTTCGTGACTATTAAAATAAAAATATTCTTAGGAAATGTTATGAAGCAAAATATCTCTTGCTTGCCCAGTAGGATCTCTTTCTGGGAGTGTTTGGATGTTGAATCCTGTATAAATCCTGTATAAGTAAAGCAACAAACAGGGAGTACAGTCTCTGCTCCTCTCATTCCAACTCCCAAAGAAAGGTGGGGAGCAAAGGAGTTACAGAAATGCTGGCAGTAGGTAACCACCTGCTACATACATAATGTGCAAAGACAAACTAATTTGTGCTGAAGGAAATTGTAGCGCTGTAGGAAGGAGCTCTGGTAACATGGTTACGGATCCGGCTGTGTACTGCAAGGTCAGCAGTTTGAATCTACTGACAAACTTTCTCCTGCTGTTCCGCAGGAGAAAGATGAGGCTTTCTGCTCCTGTAAAGATTTACAGCTTTGGAAACCCTGTACAAGGTCACTATGATTCGGAACCAACTCCACAGCACATAACCACCACTACTACAGGATAAGCACCAGACCGTAAGGTCAGGTTGAACAACAAGATCAGTAGTTCAAACCCACCAGTCAGTCTTTGTAAACCCTATATGCAGTCGCTAAGTTTGAACCTACGCTACAGCACTTAATAACAACAACCAAGGAAGTTGTAGAGTCTCAGGGTGGTGCAAGGTGGTACAAGAGTTTGGTTAATGCTTGCTTTAACAGAAAAATTGAAGGTTGGAATTGTCCCAGAAGCACGTCATAAGAAAGGTCTGGTGATGGACTTCCAGAAAGTCAGCTACTAAAAACCTTATGGAGTATGCTTCTATCCTGATACACAATGGGAATCCATGAGTCATTGCCCAATTGATAGCAACTGGATGTTTCAGCAAGTTGTGCTGGTCAATATAGCTTTTGCCTGATGGTTCACATGTGGCCAAGGCCACAGGGTGCAGAAAATAAGACCTAAACTCAGGTCTCCTGACTCGTATACTGGGTCCAGTTTTAACATTGCGTCTCAAAATGAAATGGAAGAGAAAAGTTTAGGGGTGGAGTGGTCGGTGAAGGGTTCAACAAAGAGGTAAAACTAACTTTCAGGTGATTCACTGCAAAATCCTCAGAACAGTTCCACCTCTATAATCTGAAACTCGTAACTTCCTGTTTAGGGACAACAGGATACTTTCAATTCAGCACTCTTCTTGTTCCCCCAAATACTTACCCACTGAGAGGTGGAAGTCCTGGGCCCTTGCTTTTGTTCCAGGTATAGCAAATGAATGTTGACCTTATGTCCTTTCCTGCCTATCCTATATCCTGCATCCCATCACTTCAAACTTCTCTTCAGAATCACCTAAATGTCTTGACCCTCTTAACTTTCTTACACGTCTACACCACAAAAGTAGCCCTAGTTCAGTGTAGCAATTTGGCATCTCACTGCTTTACTTAAACCCTTAAAAACCTCAGGAGAAGTCACAATTATGAGTTTGGGACATATCAAATTTGTGTTCTCCCTACCCAGATGGGCATCCAGCACTGCCCAGCAATCTTTCTATGTCCCTGCTGGCTCCATTCCCCATTGCTCTAAGCAAGTTATCTATACCAAATGTTCTCTCTTCCTATACCACTTCTTTCTCCACGACCTCCCTCAAGCCACTCAGAAGATGACCTTGCCTCCTACTTCACAAAGAAAATTGAGGCCATCAATCGACAGCTCCCTCAATCTCCTCCCCTACCACCTGCAAACTTATCTATCTGTCCCTTTGACTCCTATCACAGTGAAGGGGCTGTTCTTCTTCTCATGTGAGTCAAATCCCTGTGGCTCCCCTTGGTGCCTTTCCCTACTACCTCCTCAGGGATCTCGCTCCATCAATCTTCCTTTCTCTCCCCTGTATCAACCTTCCCTTCCTGTGGCTCTTACATCCTATTAACGTGAACAACAACAAAGTAAGACGCTTTAATCTCCATTTCTCCCTCTCGCCACCCTTCTATTTCTCTTCTTTACCTCACAGTCGAGTTTCTCTGGAAAGTTGTCTATGTTCACTTTCCCCAACCCTTTCTTTCCACATGGCTTCCAATTCTACCTTACTAGGGAAAATCATTCATGTCATCAATAATTCCTTTTCCCAAAGTTGATGGACCCTCTATTGTCTTTTTTTGATATGTTTTGGCATAAGATATATTTTACTTACCCTTCCTTCCTGAAACTCTCTCTCTTTCTTTGTCTCCCTAACAAAGGATTTTCCTCCACATTTTCCTTCTCCATCTGCTTCAAGATCTCTGTCCCCTGCCTACTTTTTCACTGTAGGTGTTCTATACTGTCATTAATTCAGATGCACCCCAAATCCATATTTTTGAACCATAAAGCTCTGCTTATCTCCAGGAGCTTGTTCCAGCTGATTGAGGAGACCTCCCATTCAAAGTCTTATAGTCGCCCAGTCTGTCTTCTCCTTCGAACTTGTCCCTCTGTCTCCTATTCTCTAGCACAGTTAAAGGAGATTTTATTTTAATGTAGCTTTTCAATAAACATCAACTTTCCTTTGTTTCTTAAACAGGTGTCAACTTTTACAGATTCTTATATAGTTTTTATGAACATAGGTTTGATGCTATAGGATAGATAGTGTCCCTAAGACCTACTATTAAGTATAAGCTGTATGTGCCTACATTAAAGAGTCTGACACATCACTGTTTTTGAGCTCTTATCTGCATTAATTAATTAAGGACTCCTCTCTCTCTCAGGTCCAAGGCATGATTCTTAACATGTCTTCCTCTAACACTCTCTCTCTCTCTCTAGCCTCTTAACAATGTACTTACACGTAAAGTAGAGCTAGATGTGGTAACGTGTCTGTAAAATAAGAGAAAGGTCTTTGAGTGTTATCTTAATCGTTACAGGCACAGTACTTGTACTCAGATACCAGTGACTCCCTCCCCAGAGAGACTGTCTGTCCCACTGAAAGAGGCAGCTCTGTGTATTTTTGACCCCCTCAGCTGTTTGGACCAAGAGTAGACCCTTAATCAAAACCAGGCCAGTCATTTTTTAACTCCCAGGAATTACCATGATATTTGGGTCAGTTTGCTATGGGGACCCAAGTTACAGATCCATGTAAACTTGAGAGCAGAGGCTGATATTTTGGAAAAACTGTGGATGAGAGAAAAACACATTAGGTTTCCAGAGAGAAGAATGAAGCAGATATTCTAAAAGGAGCAGAAAGTAAAAACTATGTAGCCCTAGAGGAAGACAGAGGAAAAGCTATCTTGATCCCTAGCTTTCTTCAACTCTACTATTTGCAGGAGACACAGCCATACTTGTGATAATTGGGTTCCCTGAGAGTCATCAAGACAGATTCTCCTCAGAAACCCTCTAAAGGTGGCTCTGAGTTGGAACTGCCTCCACAGCACTTAACAACAATTGTGTCATCCGTAGCATTTAATTCACCTCTTTCTTAGTAATGCTAGTTCTACTTCATTTCTGTTCTTTGCAATTAAGGGTCCCTGAGATGATGCGGAAAACTATAATTTATTTCTTGTTTACTATGTTTCAAGCCCTCACCAACATCCCTGTGGGGAAGATAACTTTATCTCCATTTTGTAGGAGGAAACCAAACCTGAGTGAGATAGGACCATGCCCTAGTCGATACATTTAGAATGTGGACTAGATGGTGTTTGGACCTGGAATGTTGGATTGCAATAGTCATTCTTTAACCACTCTATCATATCATATTCCCCTTGATTGAAGATATCTAGTTTGGACCTTTGAGCTTCTAGTTTATTGGTTAGATACATGAGCCAGATACATGAGCTCTGGAAATCTAAAATATATTTGACATCTAGCAATTCAAGATATGAGTCATAAAAATCATAGAACTGAATTGCTGTTGTTGTTAAGTGTTGTTGAGTCAATTCCAACTCATAGTGACCCTGTATTAGGTATCCAAGTAGTGGCTGGTGAGTTTGAACCACCGACCTTGTGGTTCAAACAGACCTTTTGGTCCAGTGCATTATCTTGCAGCACCAACCAAAACTGAACTAGACATCTTTCAATGTCTTAATTTTATAAAATTGGAAAGTGAGACCCTGTTATAGTTGGAATTGTGTCACCCAGAGAATTATGTTGAAGCCCTAACCCTTTTACTTGTAAATATGATAGAGGTTTTCTTTTGCTAATGAGGTCATATTGAAATCTGGTGGGTCCTAACCCTAATCCCTCTGAGTGGTGTCTTATAAAAAGAGCAGAATAGATCCAGATACACACAGGGGAAAGATGAACACCAAGTGAAGAGATATCTTCAAGGAGTCAAGGAATGCCCAGGAGTTACCAGTAATAAAGGACTCTACCATAGAGCCTGTCAGAATTTAGACTTTTAGCCTTCAAAACTGTGACTAAAATCAATTTCTGTTCTCTAAAGCCACCTACTTGTGGGGAAGTTTGTTTTGTTTTTTTGTGGTAGCAGCATGAACAAATTAAATTGTCCCCAAACCTCAAGTAGCTTGCATAAGTTTGAGCAGCTTTTGTACCATACTTATTCCCAAAAAATTTTAACATAAAATCTTTCTCTTTCAAGTTATTATATTTTTCCTCCAGACAATTAACATCTATACAATTCATCACAACTTACCAGTTCCTGGGATGGCCATCAGCCATGTACCTATGTAATGGAGTCACTTTTAAACTTAGGACACCTAATACCACC